TACAAAAATTTAAAGATATAAAAAATATCTCCTCACTAGACAAAAGATATAGGGAAATTTATTGATATAACAACATATTCATTAAATGGTAAAAATAATAACGGACACTTGTATTTCTGTATAAATAATGAAGAAATATAAATAATCTTTATTCCCAGAAATAAAACTTTACCTAAAAATATATAAAAGTTTTTCATTTTTTATAATGCTTAGTTAATACAGGAAATATATCAATTAATTTAAAATTTTGCGATACGATTTATTGTAACGTTTTGTAGCTTTTTTCTTTTCTAATTAAATATTCAATGTGTTACAATTGCTCGTACATACCTTTCTCTGAGAGCATTAGATTCCACATATTTTCGTAGAGTCCGCAATTGGTGGCGACATTTTAAAATGTCAGAACTTAATCCTGTTTTCCTTATTTAAAAAAAAAACTTATTTCACTCTCATTAATATAAACGTCTCAGCGTCGATAATATATATATCAATATATTAAAAACCTTAATCGAATAAATCTTTATATCAAATTTCACGTTTCCTTTTCCGTAGTCAAAAATCGGATACAAAAAATGTTGAGTTGAAATTAATGAGAGTTCGTTTTTAAAAAAAAAAATATCTTAAGAACCGATTTTAGCGATACGTCTCACATTACATAGACAACGGTCCTACCTCTGGTTTTAAAAAACGTAAATATTTTTTCTCTTCAAAACATTTACGCGGAGGATGTTAAATTAAGTAAAACCTATAGTAAAGGCGGTGTTGTATACACCTAATACTTATCAGCCAGTTGACACGCGTTTAAATTATGACACATTCGATATATAAGTAAGAATAAATTGTAATACACGATCCGGCGCGTTCCTGCCTCTCGACAGGTATTAGCCAATCACGTTCGTCGTTGTCACGGGCATGCTAAATCTTGCATTTTTATGTAACCGGTATTATTAAAAGTTTTAAACCACCTTATACCTTACAAGTTATTTAGATTAAATCACTTGTTTAAATAACGTTGTATATTAGATGATCTTACACCCTCGGCGTGATTTATTTGTTAAAATACTCGCTAGTGATAACGGATGGGAATTTTTGCATAATTTTATGGTTTTATTTATCTCCTAGACGAACGAAATGTGAAGCGAGTGAAAACACGTTGTACGTTGAAACAATTAATAAATTTCTTCACATTTATTAATTATATTATTATGTGAAATAATTATATTGCTTAATACAAATTGTTTTTGACATTTCAATTAATCAATTCTTCATTCTCTAAACTTATTGTTTTACACATATTGATAGAATGCTATCTGGTAACACCCGCAGCCGCCCATTGACATAGTTATAAGAAATGGCTCGCAAAGAAAATACGAAATTGATTAATTCTATAGTTCGGGGAACACAGACAGACGGACAAACTCATTCTACATGATAATCGCCATGAAGACTTAGATAAGGCTTTCAATATGTATATTGAATCTGTTTTTGCATACCAACTTTTATACATATTCCGCTTTAATTGATTAAAACATAAGAACAGAGTAATGCTTTTTTTCATTCAATGAATACACATGCGCGGAAAAACTGAAACAGAGCAATTGAAAAAGATATGTAAAATGCATATACTCTGTTAAGTATAAAGGCATAACTTTTCGTCTCAAGACTTGAAATAAATAAACCTATATATAAAAGATTAATACTAAATGATAAACAGCTGTTCAAAAGAAATAATGTAAATGAATAGAAACAACAGTATGATTATTCAATAATATTTTGGAGAAGTTATTCGTTTCTATATTAACATATGTATACGAAATTTAATACTTTTTATTCCAGGACATAAAACAACCCCGTGATTATGTTTAATTTAGGTCTATGAACTTGCATAGCAAGATGAACTTGTAAAGCAAGAAGAAATACAAGTCGCTATTATAGCCGCTGTAAGCAAATGTTAAGTTGATTACTACAGAATGAGATTACTACATAATAGTTCAAGAACGGTCTATAGATATAAATCAAAATGTACAATTTTAACGTTTTGTTAATCGAATGATAATTTCTGATACTGAATTATCTAATTCTTTGAATGTCACGTTCTTAATTTGATGAAACATTAAAACTTTCTGTACAACTGGGATCGATTTCCAAACTTGTAAGTATAAATGTAAACTATCTTGAGGTGACAACAGTGGCAGCGCCCTGATGTCTCAAGATCTAGTCACAGCGATATCCCCCTCCCCCCTACGGTAATAAAGAAACGTATAATCCTACATAGACTTCAAATACGGCGGGCAAATACTAGTAGACGAGAAAATGTAAGAAAAAAATGTAAAACTCGCAGCACTGTCAAAACGTATAGGTAATTTACAAACATTTCCCGTTGAACCCCTACACACAAGATTTTATTTTATGCATGACATAAATAACAAAGCTGGGTGTAAAATATTTCAAAAGACGTTTGATTTACATGGTCGTTTCTAGTAAATTATATTACACCTAACGTAAATAATTTCTCCTTCTTTATCTATATTGTGTGTATATTTGAGTTTATTTATACTCATAAGGGCTAGTCCTCCAGACCAAAGATTTTTAGAGGATAGTGCAAGATACGGATACAATTCCAGAAGTTTCTCCTGGTTCTTTAACCTGCCAAGTATTTAAGCTTTCGTACACGGGACCTCGATTTAAAGTCTCATCCTAAAGACTGATAAGTATATTTAGTTGACCAGCCCGGGAATCGAACTCACGATGTCGAAATTACAAGTCTCGTGCTCTAACCGATTGAGCTATGCGGACTGGCTGCCCTTAATCTATATAAATGTGACTGGGCCTTGAAATAGTACATTATAATACTGCACGTTTGTAACGTCATTTTTCATTTGATAATCGTGACGTTAATATAGTTCTATATACACGGCTGCTGTCGATTCATGAAGAAATCTTACTTTTTTCTCAAAAAATGATGTTTGCTGTATTATAAATTCGTTATAAAGATTATTGACAGGTTATATGGCCGTATATAAACGGCTGTTTGCAATATAACCCTCGCCTAACGGCTCGGGTTATATTTACAAATAGCCGTTTATATAGGGCCATATTACCTGTCAACGATCTTTATAACTAATAATATTCACGATAACGTCAGCACTTCGACAACGACTGTATAGTGACCATCCAGGCAAACATGTAAGTTACAATAAAACATTAATATAATAAAAACGTAGATTTTTGCGCGACCGTAGTCAGCTAATCTTTTCAAATCGTCTTTTCATTGAGGGCTTTTTTTGTCTCAGTACCGATTCTTGTTTGCAAATGGCATGTACGAATGGACATTTCGAGGTTTTGGTGCAAAGACATGCGTATATTGTTACAGGAACATACTTATTACCGTAAAGCTGCCCATCTTCAGTGTGTGCTTCGCATCAGACCTTTGAGTATAGGTCGCAAAGATAAAATAACGAAAAATACAAAAAGTAAACCAATATTAGAAAAAATATCCAATCAATTTTATCACTTAAATATGATCGACGACAAAGGGTGTCTGCGCATATACTCCTAACTGTTACAGTAAGTATGGAATGCCTTCTATTTAACCCTTTTCCTCATATAAGCGTGTTTTGACGGCTTTTTGTCCCCCCTCCCCTTTTGAGGCCTCAAACAGTGAAAAAATGCCCTATTTAGGCCCCAAACACTGGTTTTCGTTTGAGAAATGTTGTTAAAAAAGTGACCACTTTTTCGGCGCCGTCCACCATCCAAATGTTACACCAGGGGGTTGCCAGAAGGGGGATGTGCCCTCTTCTGTCCCTCATCGCCAAGAAAATTTTGGACATGTGACAGGCTAAAAATGGCCTCAGGTCGATCTTAGGGTAACTAGTAACCGACGCTGAAAAGCCTTTTACTCTATCTCAATTCATTGAGAAGTTGCAGCACTTTGAAATCAGTTTTGATAGAAAAAAACAATGCAAAATAGTGATTTTTGGCAATTTTGAGACGTCCCCCCGTTGCCATGGTAACAGGAAATTTACGATTGAGCATGCTGTTACAGAGGCTATGGTGTAGTCAACATTTGTGCCAAGTTTCATCAGTATTGAAGCATTTTTCATAGTTTCATAGCAGTTTGAACTTGTTACAGGAGGCTTTTCAATGAAAACGGCCTTTTTTCGCAATATGCTCATGGGGTAAAAGGTTAATTAAAAAAATAAAAAATGTCAAAAAAACAACAATTTTTCACCAAAATTCAGTGTTAGGGCACGTGTTAACATGGAAAATCTAGTTTTAGGGTAATTCCAAGGTTTTTCATCATACATGTATTTTGTTAAGTAGTTTTTTTACTATACAATAGTAGGTACTTAGTACATGTATTTTTATGTTTCATATGGAAGATGTTTTCTGTACTTCTTAAAGTAAAGAAGCAGTTAAATATTTACATATTCACAATCAATATATTTATATATAAATATAAAAACATTCCCTTTTTATCACTCATGAAATATGCATGATGATCCAAAAACCGTACCCATATGGTAATATTTTTTTATTATTTTATTTTGACGTTTATTTTTGTATCAGGTTTCGCTTTATATGTTCGTAATTCTTCATATAATAGAGATAAATTTTGAAAGTTTTTATGACCCATGTAACTATGTAAACCTCTTTGATGAATTATTCTGTATTATGCGACCTTTTTCACCGTAGATTGTATCTTTTTTAAGAAGTTAACATTAATATGGTTATTGCAGACCGTTCAAAGGAAGTATGAAATTTTAAAATGACAGTTACATTCAGTTTTGTTATCATTCTGATATTTTTATACTCGTTTTAAGACTCTCTTTAAACCGTCAAATCCGTGATTCATGTCATAATAATATTTATGTACATGTGTGTATGTTAAAATATATTAACGTATGAGGGACACGTGTATGTTAACATAAGAGGTGCACATGTTTGTAAACATAAGAGGTGCACGTGTTTTTAAACGTAAGAGATACACGACTTTGTTAACCCATTTGCGCCTGTTGTCTACTTTTGTAGACACTAGCAGTTATCAGTACACTAGGACCTAATTATGAGCGCACATTTGTTTATCATTGTTATTCTATACTTGTTGTCATGATAAGCGTTAATTGGACTACTTTGCTAGACAAAATGCAGACCACTACGTTATTTGCAGTGTGTTTTCAACAAGAATGTGATAAAAATTGCCTTGAAAATATTATTGAAAATGGCTAGCAGAAACAGGTATGTAAAACTTTATATTGTTTTTATTTTATATCATAAAATATGATTGTTTTATATTGTATAATTATATTTCTGCTCAATTCCTGTTTTATAATTCAGAAATATGTATAAAATGTGTTATGACAGTCAATTTAGATTTTGTCTACAAAAGTAGACAATAGGATCAAATGGGTACGTTTTATCATTATGAAAATATTTTGTTGTTTACAGAAGATACACAGTAAATGAAATCATATCAATGCTTGAGGATGAAGGTAACTTTGAAAGGGCAGATATACATGTTCAACCACCTCCTGTAGATGAACTGACAGATGAAGATAGTGCAAGTGAAGATGAAGAAGTAGGTTACAACAACCTCAGTGGACGTCAGTTAGACCAACAAGCAACAGCGACAGTTATTCGCCTAGATGGTCGTCATGTTGTTGTTGATTGTTGATGTTGTTGGATCTTCCTAGCAATTCTGCTTATATCAGGCTATAACACTGTGCCAAGACGGAGACAGTTCTGGAGCCGGGATGATGACGTAAGGAATGAGGCAATAGCTCGTACAATGCCTCGAGACAGATTCGACATATTGGTGCGATATGTACATCTTTGCGATAACAACAATCTTGACAGAGAGGACAAGTTTAGCAAAGTAAGACCACTGCTATGTCTGCTGAATGAGCGCTTCTTGTTATACTACTTGAAAGAGAAAAACCTTTCAATCGACGAAAGCATGATCCCGTACTATGGGCGACACGGAGCGAAACAGTTTATTCGTGGGAAACCAATTAGGTTCGGTTATAAGATGTGGGCGTTAACGACAGCACTTGGATATGTTTTACAATTTGAGCCCTATCAAGGGGCAAAAGGCCACCAAACCCATGATCCTGGCTTCCTTGGAATGGGCGGAGCAGTAGTTATGGACCTGCTTTCAGAGCTGCAGAAAGATGATGCATACCATCTGACTTTTGATAATCTATTTACTTCCCTGAAGCTCGTGGACCGGCTTACAGATATGGGAATATCTTGCACAGGAACCATCCGTGCCAACCGAATAGAAGATTGTCCTGTCAAAAATGTAAAAGACATGGGAAAAACGCAACGAGGAAACTATGATAAAAGGTATGACGCACACAAAGGTCTGATAGTGGTGAGGTGGAATGACAACAATATAGTGAATGTGGTGTCAAATTGCCATGGAGTTGAACCATTGCAACAAGCAACACGGTGGTCAAAGCAGGCAAAAGCTAGGGTGCGCCTTCCGCAGCCATACCTTATAAAGCATTACAACCAGACAATGGGAGGTGTGGACAGGATGGATCAAAATGTTGAGAAGTATCGTATCTCTATCAGATCCAAGAAGTGGTGGTGGCCAGTGTTTATGTATTACATTGACCTTGCGGTGCAGCAAACCTGGCACATTTACCGTGCCACTGATGCAAGATTGAGGCAACCATTAGATCTGTTAGGTGTCAGACGAGCTCTGGTTACTGTGCTGCTTGTTCAGGGGCGTACACCTGCTGTCAGCCCTGGCAGACCAAGAGGTAGGATGAGGCCATTGTCAAGAAGAATTCCAGACCATATCCGACTTGATGGTAAAAATCATTACGCAGAGCCAGCAAAAGAAGTGCGCTGTTCATTGTGTGGAAAAAAATGCAGGACACAATGTTCCAAATGTAATGTTGGAGTGCACAGGAAATGCTTTGAAATGTTTCACAGTGTTTAGGTATTCATACGATCAAAGCCAAAAGACATGAACAATAATAATTCATATTCAGAATGAATTTCAGAGTGAACACTTCTGTGCCTAATGTCTACTTTTGTAGGAAAAGTAATAGAAAACATTGCCTGTATAAACTTTAAGGATTTTTTCAAGTAAAAGTTATCAAATAAACCAACAATAGGTTATCTGGACATATATTCTATATGTGTTTTACATATACCCATTTGCGCCTGTTGTCTACTTTTGTAGACAAAATATTAAAACACTAAAATAAAAAATGCAGTACTTATATTTGAAAAATAAACGGATATATGTTATAACTATATGGTTACTATATGTTTTATACATTTCTTATATAAAAATAAAATTCCGGCACAAATGGGTTAACATAAGAGGTGCACATGTTTGTTAACAGAAGAGGTACACGTGTTTGTTAACACAAAATATACCATTGTTTGTTAACATATGAGGTTCAAGTGTTTGTTAACATACCGTGATACGGCGAATGTAAGTTAACATAGTAGTTAAAGTATAATTAAAAATACATAACTGAAAACTAGTTGTATACGAAGTTTTCAAAATCATTTTCTACACTGTTTCGCTTCTTATCCTAAAGCAATAATAGGTATAAGCTTAACAGGCCAGCCGTCGGTAACAGATTCAGCGAAGATCAAGATCCAATACAAAAAGTAAAGCAATGTAAAATATTTATTTTTAGAATATAAAATAATAATAAGCGGCGTCATAAAACATATTTATAAACATTGTTAAAACGCATGAATAAATCAAATTTAGATAGGAAAACACGATTGGCATTTTCTTTACACCGATTACGTATCTTCATTATTGGCCGATAAGTAGACAAAGGGAGGCAAGCTATTTGAAACGCGTGACTTAATAATCAAGGGAATAATATGTGTAATTCTTTAAATTTTAATTGAATAAAAATTCATTGTATATTTTGCATATGATAAACTTACACGATCTAACATCATTATCTTAAGCATAAATACAATGTACATACAAAAAGGTTTGAACAAAAGTTATACCAACATTATCTAGGGTCCTTCCCTGTTAATTAATGGTAATATAGTTAGTAAGTGAGGATTTTAGAAATTCTAGGATATATATGTAGTAAGCGATATAAATTTTATACATTTCTACATGGTAAAAAAAAATCGCTTCATCTGAAAAAAAGAAGAAAATTACGTTACAAAATAATTTAATTAATGAGAATATTTATTCATATGCCATTAACAATTTGCCATCAGAACAGACGAACGAACCTTGACCTGCTATTCAATAAATAGAGGATATTGAATGAGTGTAAGTTCAATACTGAATTTATTGCACGAGTTGAATAAAATTATATTATGCGAGCCTCTGGCGAGCATAATATTATTTTATTCAACGAGTGCAATAAATTCAGTAATAAACTTACACGAATTTAATATTCTATTTATCACATACCCAAAATAAAGACCGTTTAAAGTGAAATAAGAGTTATTTTCCGTTGACGCGCCTAAAGTAGAACGCTAACATTTAGCGCGTCTTTACACTATGTTTGCATAACGCTAATGACGTTACGTCAAAATATATGCACGACCGTGCAATACCATATTTACGGAGTCGCAAAATCGGCACGGGTGTGTGATAAATCTAAATATGAAAATAAATATAGTTTATGTACAAGCATTCTTAAGTAAGTCTTCTTCTATACTTTTGATAAAATTGTGCACTTCTTGAAAAAGTCTTATATTGTCTGCTTCTGCAAGTCCATCAATACCGTGTAATAATTTCTTACTACTGAGAGGATGAAATGGCCTGGTATTTAAAAAAGTATACGTCTTTGCATATTGTATAATTTACATCGGCAAAAATAGTGCTCCACATTTTCGATGTCTGCGTTGCATTGACATAATGGACTTGAAACTAACTGTTTATAAAAAGATCATTATTTAAGTTGCTACAGTTTAATAAGGGCAAGTTGTTCGGATAGTTTTGCATCTCCTCATTTTACTTGTTTTACGAAACACTACGTACTGTACTCATCTCACACAGTTCGGTATTACCCCATTATCAGTTGCCGCATATTTTCACAATATCATAGTCTTTTAAAATACCACTATAGTATGTACTAATCCTACATTCACCATAATTAAACTTCCGGGTAAGTCGGCATGGTTGCACGCTCAACAACACTTTTGACTTTATATGTTGGAAAAAGTCCTTCTTTATTAGTTATAACATTGATTCCCTTTGAATAACCATTCCAGTGATTACCTGCGATTTTTATCATATCTCCGATTTCAAATGATATTTCATTATAATTTCTTCTCGTATGTTTTATAACAGCTTTCCAATGATGTGGATTTTGCCCGAAAAAATGGTACGAATCGTTAAGAGAGCGAAACCAACCGGAAGCGTCGCCATAACGAGGCTGCATTCTTTCGTAGGCGGATCTGCATACCTAAAAATAGAATTAAATTTTATTTTCTATCAGGCCTGAAGTAGCGCTGATAGAAATATTTGATTTATTTTGAAATAAATTCAGTCCAGGAGAAAACCTAATTAACACATCTTTTTGTATAATAAAAAGCACTTTCTTGTGAAAGCAGTACCAACATTTATGATGTCTTACAAAATTTTCTCAACATAATTAAGCGCTTACACGTTGTTAATATTTCAGATATGCACAAAACACAACTATATTAGACAAAGTTCAGTTTCTATGTTCAACCCAATACTTTGTTGAATGGCATCAAAGCCAATCAATAAGACAATATTTACTCTACAATATACATGTATAGCGTAAACTGATGTGTCTTAGTCACAGGAACTTGAAATTTAATCAATACATCACAAAATATACGTATATTAGTGATATAATCCTTATCTCTATATAAAAAACTTTATATAGAGATAAGGGCTATATCATTAATATATGTATATTTTGTAATGTATTGATTAAATTTCAAGTTCCTGTGCTTTTGTACAGAAATAAATAAATTTAGATACAGCTCTAACTCTGCACATTAATAATGGTTAAAATTTTTTTTTCATAATGCGCATGTGCAAGAAAGTGAATCAAAACATCCGGCAAAAGTATAGGACAATCGTAATAGTAATGTAAAAATGTCTTTTGACATACCTGTGAGGAGAAGGTACAGACCAAATAGTTGCACATTGATAGCAACTGTATATCAAGCAATATCCCGTGCAATGACGTGTTAGTATATCTGTTATTTACTCGAGCAGACATGGATATATCATTATCACTTATAAACTTGTATTTTGGATATCTAAAATTACAAAAAGAACTGTAAAAGCAAAATATTTCAAGGGATATTTGGTGTCGAAAAAGGTGAAACCCCATACCAGGGTCTTTCTATTTGAAAGACCGTGCTAAAACGGAATGCTAGTGTCTTTTTTCACATTAGCGCGAATTTCAACCGTCGAAAAAGTTGTAAATGTGAATAACAAAATCTAATATTTGAAAGGGTGAAAATAAAATGTCGGCGATTTGCAAGGGTGTTTAAAATTCTAATTTTATTTTATGCTTACAAAATTTAATGTTAATATATGAAGCACTAACAGGGAAGTTAGAAAGTAGCATTTCACGATAGGATTGGAATGGAACTTCCCAATGTGTTACTACTAGCATGTACAGTTGCAGGCAAAGCAAATGATTTCAAACTCAAAACTTCCTGATAAAGTTCTTTTTATATTGTTATAGTTTAGGGAAAATACAAATCAAACAAAACCTCTAAAAACATGTACTAGTAACGCGGAAAAATTACTATCTTGTTATTTTCATTAGTTTATACATAAACATTTAATTAAGAGAGAGTCTATTTTTACAGTCAAGACAGACTCACCCTTTTGACAATTAAAAAGTAACTCACTTTCGGATAGCTTCGGATAGTATCGTAGGATCGTCCGTAGCAAGGAATATTTTACGTTGTACATTCGGCTGACTTCTCTCGTAAACGTCATACCACTCTTGCACGTGTTTCATGTACTCGTCAAGGTCATGGAACTCCGCCTCGTGTCTCGATATCTTGTCTGTTCTCCTTATTTGAACTCTTCAAGAAATCATAACATAATCGTGAGTACTGTGTACAGAGTCGGCCATCTTCAACACTTTCCGTATATACATAAGGTCTCAACCCGGTACGGAATTAGACCTCTAGAAAGAAATTCTTTAAAATTTTAAAGTGGCCCAATTTTAGTCATCTCTAGTTAGATTGATCATAATTAAAGGGTATTTATTGCATATGTGTAGTTTTAGTGTGTTAAATGATGACTCTAAAAGTTGTTTTTTGTGTATTCTCCAGCGGAGATTTGTTAGCAGAAGGATTAAATATGTACTACCCACCAGCAGTGAAGAGTTTTTACAGTGGTGAATTTAAACAGAGTTACAACAGAATGAAGATTTCTGAAAAAAATAGGTGGCTAACTTATTATATTTTGGGCCTCATTCGACTCAGATAGTGTTATTGTTTAAAGTTGAAGACAGTATATAATTCATCAAGAACAGTGGAATCCAGAATTAAACCTCAAATGTGACTGATTTACTATAGAACGAAGAATACGAAAATTCACTGGGCCGAGTCCATAAATAAAGCTTTCAAAGGAAATTGTTTTTATTGCTCCTTGTGAGACAGACGCTTATTCCATATGAACATTTGTGAAATTCTTTACATGGACTTTTTAACCGTCCGGTTGGCTCAATAGGTAGAGCGTTGGACGTTCGATTTCCGGACGGTGAAAGTCACTTTCGTAGTGATTGATCATGTTTTTTTTTTGACAGTCATTTGCACAATACCCTTGCACTGGCATGTACAGAAGTTATCAGTTCCTTGCAAAATAAAGATAACAAGCACTAGTAACCTGCCCGATAGCCTACCCAGGAACGATGCGGTGGCTTAAACTGTACCAAGTGGCTTACTTTCGTGATTCGGAACCACAATCATAGATTTTTAGAGATATCCCGGTATAAACAAAACGTTTTCCTTATCAGAATTTTAAAACTTACCAACGTTTTATTTCGAGTTTCTTAATACTTTATGAACAGATCTGGTCTAAATCCATTGCAATGAAAGAATAGTAATGTTTATAAAGTTCTTTGGTTAACGTGTACCTGTATTGTGTGGAATATGTTCATTGTTTTGCCATGAACAAAATGAAAATATTAATAATTTTAGAATTCGTTAACTGATGAAGTAATCTAAATACAATTAATGGGTGGCATAGATTTTATGTTACCGGTACGGATTTTATGTAACCAGTAAGGATCTTACTGTAACCGGTACGGATTTTAGGTAACTCTTGTCAGGACTATTCTCCCCTTCTGACCACAGCAGTTACCTCCCCTCGTCATTCAAGGTTTAAGAAGTACACCGCTTACTTGAGAGACCGGTGTGTATACAATGGAAGCAAAGGCGCCATAATTTACCATACATATAAAGTAATTTTTACCCGACAATTGGCTTTGAGAACCCCAAAGCTCGTTTCCGCTCTTCTAGGTACTTGTTAAGTTTCTGGTTAGGTCTCATCAGGTATTGTACAAACTGGCCTATCCACCATGCGGCCGGTTCGCCATGGAAACGCTCAATACTGCCGGCAAGGTCTTCCGGAAGTGCGAATGGAAGGAAATCAGGACGCGGGGAGAGGCGGTCTATAAATGGTAGCTTTATAACACTTCTAGTGTCCGGATGACCTAGCAACATGGGTAAAACAAAGATAAACTGATTAAAATAATCTTTCTTCATAAATTTTTACTGTGAAAAAAAATATGTACAGATCTAATATTATATATTTCAAGGGAATGGAAAAGTGTAGGTAATTCACGAACTATTTCTTTTGTTATCTACGCCTAACAATAAAATTGAAGACTTTGCATACTCATATAGAATATAAACACTTCTTCATTTTTTTTCCCGTAAAGAAAATAAAGTACAATAAATGTAAAGAGAAAATAATTACTGTCATACCATGCCAGGGTAATGGGCGCTGATTTGTTGTGGTGCAGTTATTACTGAGCGGCAAAAACACTGACTCCCAGCCTTCTTCTGGCGCATAGTGCCAGTTCTTGGAATCTAAGATAAGTGTTCGCTGTGTACCATAAGCCATAATTAGGCAGTATGTCAAATGATTCAATTGGCATCCAAACCCACATATCTTATCCATCTTACAGACAAGTTTCCGTGCTTTGGAGCAGTCTTTCGGATGCTGTGTTTAATGTTTAAGAGTTATTCAATTTAAATTTCTTTTCAAAATATAAAATCATATAGATCTATAAATAGTAAATGATAATTTCATAAACATAGCTATACGAAATGTTTCAAGGATAATTTAATGTCTATACAGAAACATCAAGGGATTTGACGGAATGGGTGATACACTGAAAATAAATGAATTGAACCAACGAACGAACGAACGAACGAACGAAGGAAACGAAGGAAGGAAGGAACGAACAAATGAATCAATGAATGAATGAACGAACGAACGAACGAACGAACGAACGAACGAACGAACGAATGAATGAATGAATAAATGAATGTATGAATGAATGAACTAAATAACTAACAAAAGAACGAAAAGAAGAGAAACGAAAAGAAACGAAACGAACGAACGAACAAACGAATGAATGAATAAATGAATTAATAAGTTATTTGTTGTTTTATTTTGAAAATTATACATGGTTGTGTACAATACTGATTCTATTGGACGATTACACAGCTACAAAACATATATCAGAATCGGGTTTTACCTATTAAACTAAACCATGTGTAATGACCTCTTTGTCTTACATTGAAAATCATTCGTTTTTGTGTGTCATATTCAGAAATATGTTACTTCGAGTACAATATGGATTTGATACTTTTGGACTCTGAAAATGAAATCAAGGGAAAGTGTTTAATATAGATTTGATATGGAATTTTAAGAATCGGAAAATGGAACAAGGCTTCGAGAGGGAGAACAATATGCATTTTGGTACGTTATTTTCGACTAGGGAAATACAAACAGTCAAGTCTAATTTGATATGATTTGGGCCCAATAATGAGTAACATTGTAAAATCATATGGAGCAAATGTTGGAAGTTCATTGGTTACATTTTTTGAGGTGTGAAATAAAATTGAATATATCAAATGACAACTCATGTAAGATTCTTCATTTACCGGTAAAAGGTAAAGAATGGCTATATTACCTGCAGAAATAATAATCGTTTCTGCACGAGAATTCCGAGCATCCGTGATTGAAAGGTACGCCAAGCTTCAACATTGTCAGCTGTGTTTCCAAATTTCAATAAGTCATTCTTCAACTTTCTAAAAGTATCAAAAAGGAAATAGTACTAACGAAGACAATCGTGGCTTTCCTCTAGACCATTGTAGACAGAACAAAAACTGTGACCAAGTTAAACTTGTTAGTTCTATGAAACGGACCTTAAATGACGCCAGTACTGGTTAGCTCCTTAAAATGGAGCTAATGACGCCATGTCCGATTACAAATGGATAAGAAATAACTCACATGTTGTAACCATAGCTATTATGTAGAACAATGTCGACTGCATTTGCAAACTTTTCGTTCTTTGACTTAGTTTTTAATTTATTCAACTCTGTCTGCAGATACATCCACAGGTCACCTAATACGAAGCTTATATCTCGTCTGGTGTCCTCGTGCTCAAATGATGGGCCATTTAAAGCGTCTGCTCGCATGTGATCAGACACTGCAAGCAAAGAAATTGAATTACATTGAAGGTTTGTAATATACAAATGTACATATATGATTAATTAAGACAACGTAAAAACGTTTTTTTTTTTTTAAATAAATGATACACGGTACCGCTTAGGAATAATGGCGATATTGCGAACTATCATAAAACTCGGAGAACTCTTATAAATTTCTTTACTTTAAATACCTGACACTGCAAACCACTAGTAAGCCACTGGTATTGGTTTATGTATGAATTCAACAAGATATCGTAATATTTCTGTATCAAATGTTTTGTACTGTACTTTTTGTTTGTTTTTGTTACTCTAGATAAATCTTATATTGATGACGCCAAACTATTTGACAGCTACGTCACGCTATACTAATCAGGAGAAGTGGGGAGTTCGGATTGCCATCACTGCAACCCTTTGGATCAAACGGCTTGTTTTTAGACATGCTTGTGAATGAAGCTTTAGCTATCACTAATTATATTTTCAAAAACAAGAATCATTCTGTTTAAAGAATCACCGGCACTAGTTTTCTTTATGATTTTATAATTGAGGGAAAAGAATGGAATTGTTTTCTGAGACACCAGGAAAATGTGACTGTATGACTGTATGACATAGCCCTTATTAAGTCAACCACCTTTGTAATAAAGTATGCTTGCGATGAGAAGGTTTTCTCCCCTTTCCACTTAGAATGTCCAAAGTATGATTCTAGGAAAATTCCAGCAGTGCATGGTATCACAGCAGTATCTTATATGAATTTGTTTGACTTTTTAAAGATTAACAAAACGTTTCCGTTAACTAGTAAAAGGGCCATTTTTACATCGACTTCTTGCAAGAAATCTATGATAATAAAGGGGCAGTACACCTCCTGACATGACAACAAAATAAGGAAACATGAAGTTGTGATTTTACTGAAAACATTACCTTTTCGTTGACCAGTAAAATGATCTTTCTGATTATTCTTCAATTTGTTGATCTTATTTAATATACTGTCAAGTTTTTCTCTAAGAAATGACGCTTCTGTATCGATGCTGATGTTTGACGTAGCTGCATGGCTGGTTGTTCTGAAACTGTTCGGAAGACATTTTGTATTAATTAACCCTGGTACAGGTTGATATTTGAGCCGCGTCCTGACAAAACCAACATAGTGGGTTTGCGACCAGCATGGATCCAGACCAGCCTGCGCCTCCGTGCAGTCTGATCAGGATCCAAGCTGTTCGCAATCAGTTTCTCTACTTGTTATAGGGTTTGTAAGCGAACAGTATGGATCCTGATCAGACTGCGTTGAGGCGCAGGCTGGTCTAGATCCATGCTGGTCGCAAACCCATTATGTTGGTTTTGTCGTGACGCGGCTCAATTATGTTCTTGCTGTAAATCATCAGAATACAACTTTACCAGTCTTCAATTCATTGCAGTATGATTAGACTTTTATCTGGTCACTGATCGTTCTTTTATTTCATGACAGTTAACAACTCTTCCTGATTCTATGAATGGACATTTCAAAAGAAAAATCAGGACATGACAATTACACAATATTAGCGTTCGGCATTCTTTCCTGATGCGTGCCATAGACCTTTCTATCTATAAATTCCATCTGCAACTTGCAAACGCTTAACTCTGAATCAACACTGCTTAAAATTAAATAAATAAACCGAACAAAATAATAGTAAAAATGTAATGAGATGTCCGAAGTTTTACGGTAGCAGCCAACAATTCAGCTTGACCGGATAATCTCGTATCCTATGGCTTTTAACTGCCCTTTTAGTGCTTTTTTGCTGAATGTTAAAGTATGCTTTACAAACCAATATCCAATCAATCACACCAAATTTTTTTTATTTATTTATTTATCTATCTATTTTCTATATTTTTGGGGTCGAGGTGGGTGGCTAGGGGTACTTTATCTTCTTTTTGTCGGGTGGAGGAGGGGCCCGTTTGATGTGATGTCGGAGGGGTTACCAGTTGTTGCTGTTCTAGCTGTTACATTATCTGTATAGAAAAACCCACTATGGCGTCCTAGTATACAATATTTCCCTAATATAAATTATCTCTTTAAAAAATATAATTTAATAAAATTGATAAAAAAGTCTTACCTTAAGATGAATTCCTGGAATTTCGCATTTTCATTTTTAAGATTTTTTAATCTTTTGAAGGCATGCTGAATCCGGTCCTCTACACTTTGGTAATGAACTATCATAACGAAAACATACAATATTCCTATAAGTGGTAACAATGTTAATATCTGAAACAAGTTCCTGTTGTATTTACCCAGTCTAGCCATTGTAATGTATCTTTATTGCAATTATTCACACACGGACGGACACGCTATATAACTAATTATTATTATTTGCTCATGATATTTTTAATTGCATTAACTTTCATGATAAATTGTACATTATTGATACAAACTATCTGATTTAAATGTGTTGGCAAGATACAACAGCTGTTTGGAGGGAAACATATTAACTCCACATCTGTATCTGTTTATTATCGATTAAGAATTACTTTTTAATAATTGGAAATTATTGTACAAAAATGTATATTGATATATCAAGGGAAGTGATACGAACAAAGGAATGAACGAATCGCAAAATTGGAAAACAACAAAACAAAGATAATAACAACAACAAAAAATATAAACTGCAACATCAACAACAACAAAAACCAACACGACCGCCACCAACATCACCACCACCAACAACAGCATTACAACAACAACCACAGCACCAAAAAAACCCCAACAAAACAAACAACAACACATATTTGGCCACCCCACGAAAGACCGTCGGGGACATTCAAGTGAGGAATACTGCTGTGCTTAACGATCTTCTAGGATAGAATATACATTATCTGTGACTTAATGAACGAAGGACAGGGAACAAAAATAACCTCAAATGAAGAGCAGCCAAACTTATTACCCATAAATTTGACGAACTCCACAAAAGCTTTCAAAATGTATAGCCGAAATGTTCACTTTGCGAAGAGCTCGCTATTGAACTTGATTTAGCAACTTTTATTTTGGATTAAGTTAGTCCATACGTGCGTTTTTTAAAAATAAATTCTTCCAACCTATGTGTCTGTCTAAAGCAAAGTTCCTATCAAGAGTATGGAATGCCATTTTGTAAAATCTTATTAGAACTTATATCTTCATTAAGTATGATTTTCTTACTCCAAAATCAAAAGAAAGTAAAAGAAAACCTTATTAACCTAATTAGGGGAATTCGGATATTGTTACTCCAAATTAGGAGAAATGAAAGATCCTAATTAGACATTTGTTATACTGAACAAGGAGTTTAAAGTCGCATTGGGAGGTATTATAAACTTTGTAGAATTTTTAATTCCTAGTTAAAAAATGAAAAAAAAAGTATGATTTTAAAAAGATCATACATAATTTGGTCTGAAAATTTTGAGTTTACAGTTTTTCTTCTGCTTTTTTTATTTTATGTACATGGTTGAAGTCTTCCATTTCTGCAAAACATGAAGTTTCAAAAACGTTTTTATATGCATTAAATTTGGGAGATATGTTTCACACTTATACAAAATATTTACCCCAAGGCATCTTTGCTACAATGCGCATGAATTTTTGTACACGACTTACCCTACTTGTAATAGAAAATGTTACATAATGGACTGCAAGAAAAGATAGATTAAACTTGAGTAGCCGACAGTGTTTACACTGGTAAGACTGAACATATTAGCCTCCTTAAAGACACAATATTCCACAGAATTGATTAAATAATAACTCCTTTAGAAGTTTTAAATAATTGTCTTAGGGCATGTTAGATCCATGTTACCTGAAGAAAATAGCGGCAAATGTAAAATAATACGCCATGAAAGTAGCAAAATGTAAACAAAGTAGTATTTTGAGTCCCATGTGATTCCCCCCCCCCCCCAAAAAAAAACAATAGAAGGAGACAGTTCAGATAATTGGCCAATGAGGAATTTGTTTGAAACTATAAAAGAATACAAAAAAAAAATAAATAAAAAGATTTTGAGAAATTAAAACGGATGTAATTCTGAGGCATAATGGGCCTTTAACCTACTGAATTTATGAAACAGGCTTTTCAGGCTCCAATTATTGGAACTGTTTCCACCTGGATATATCAAGACAGGTAATCAACAGCACTCGTATAGACCCTGACCGGACTAAACGGGTGTTCAGGTAAGGTTAGCTCCTTACTGGTTAATTCATTTTGGATCCAGCCTGGCAAAGTTGCAGTGTTGTTTAAAGTTATCATATTTACACAATTACGTTTAATCAAGCGCGTCGGACTAGTTATCTAAGGATTGTTGGCTATGTGGGTTCAAGTCCTGTCAGGGGCAAGTCATGGTTTCCTTGAGCAAGAAACTTTAAAGTATCTACAACATGTTCGTGAAGTTGGCAGCCTAGCTGCCTAGCGGCCTGAAGTTGGCAGCCTTGCAGTCCGAAGTTGGCAGCCTAGCAGCCTGGCAGCCTGGCAGCCTTGCAGCCTGAAGTTGGCAACCAACTTCACGAACATATCTACAACGTATTATCCGGTTTTTGGTTAAAATGTGTTTGTTCTTATATTCTAAGCTACTACGAAATTAAATTTCTATAAAATTACTAATATATACATTCTACAAAAATGTACCTGTATGTCTATATCACTGTAGCATACGCTATTAAGGTTTTGTTTGTAATATTTGTTCAAGACGGACATCAATGCGACAGGTGTATTTTATATTTTATTGACTAATGACATACAATGTATACATATTTGTACAAAATAATAAATACAGAAGATATGATATAAATATTACAATGTCATGGAAATGTTATAATGATAATAGTCATTTGAATATGGAGAATCTTCTTAAGTCTATCGTTCAACAATTTATGATTGAAAATAATTTAATTGATTTAGTTAATGTGAATTCATTGATTTGATTTAAACATATTTTATTGCCAAAAATAAGACATATACATACATGTAGACAGTTACAATACAATGACATGACATGTTTGGCAAAAGGGTTGACCCACAAGTTCTCTCAACATTAGCAACGGGTCTTCCCTGATGCAATAAATTACAATAACATATTTACAAGAATGACTATCAGTTAGATAGAAGTAACAAAACTCACACATTTATAGTACTTGGCTTTAAAAATGATTTTAGGTAAGAAAGAACAATAAAAATGATTGGGTGTACATGTTCTCTAGCTTAAACAGTATTGAACGGTGTTAACTGATTTTTGTATATTTGCGTTACAATGACTTAAAAACATGTACATTTGCCAAATATAACAAAACAAACAGAATGCGCAAAAAGATTTTGAGAAAATGAAATGTAGAAGGAAAAAAAGAAACAAGAAGAAGAAAGGAAAGAATCTTGTCTGTTGTTTTGCAAAAATGAAAGAAATACATGAATATTTATTGGGATTGTGCTGGTTTGATTTCAAAATCAAAAGCGTTTGCTTACTTTTATGAAATGCTGAACAGTCAAAAATATTTTATTATTATTTTCTAAAGACAACTCTTTGTTACCAACTAAAAGTAATTGGACATTTAAAGGCTGAAATTGTCTTAATTCGTTAAAAAGATCAATTCTCTCATTTCGATATTTCGGACAAGTAAACAAAAAATGGTTAACATCTTCTATCTCATAACCGCACGAACAATTTGCATCCTGTGACAAATGATTGCAGAATAAGTGGAAATTTAAGTTACTGCATGCATTTCTCAGTCTGCAGTGTAAAACTGAGAGTTTTCTTTCACCTGTAAGGTACTATTTTGGAGTGTCTGTAGATCAAAATGTTGATTTCTTTAATAGAGATTTAAAATGTGACAGAGTTTCTACAGATCTTGTTTCAGGTTGCAAGTTGTTCCATAGCATTACCGACGAAGGCACAAAATAAGAAGAAAATATATGAGTCCGTCTGTTTAAAGTTGCAAAGTCTTCTGAGTTTCCAAGATTGTATGGTGTTGTATTATGAACTCTTTCTGGAAAAATATTACTTAAATAATCAGGAACGTCTCCATTATGAATTCTATATGTTTAAATAAGGTTTTGGTACGTTCTTCTATCAGATAGTGAGAGCCAATTAATTTCTTTATATAAATTTTGGAGAGAAACTGAATGGGTTCATTCTAAGCATAAGCAACAAATGGCATACATTCCAATTTAACAAAGAACTTGTTACAGAAAAATGTCCTTAAAGAAAAGTGGTAAAGATTAACAGTTCGAGTTACAATATACACATGTAGTTAAAAATTTAATTAGATGGTAATATTTATAAAGCCATATCGACGCTTGGTCGCAATATCAATGCACTTAGCAAGTCCTATTAATTCATTTCATTAGTTTCATGTCAATCTGTCACTCTAAACCTGTATATAAATTTAAAATATTCTTGTTACTGGAGAAAGGAATAGTATCTTCAGTCAATGGACAGTAAGTTCACAGTGATGTAATTGTCCTTATTTACGTAATATCAATTTACGGACTAAATGTCTAATCTACTTGTTGTAATCAGCAAATTTTACAAATCTGTCATCACACCAGCACTCTCTCATTACTACCGCCCGTATGACGGTATGTGAACCAGGAAGGCTGGTTATCTATATGTGTTTTTCTTTCGTGCACTAATTTGTACTACTTTAAAGATAACATTTAGCATTTTATATTTTATCGGCCAAATAAACCCGCCCACTTAGTACATTAGTATTCATTTTTTTAAAAGAGGGTTTAAACACGGACGCACGAAAATGACACCAATATTTGTAGTGTTTTCCCTATGGCGGGAAAAAATGATATAAATTCGAAACTACGGGAACGCCATCATGATTTCGCGATGATGGTTTTAGAGGTTGAAACACTAAGATCCAACATTTTCATATCTGTAGCTTGTTGTGTTTTCGAATTTTCATCTTTCACCCTCGCTTCATTGAAAACAAGACGTTGATCAGTTGTCAAAAAATTTGAACCCAGTCTACACCCTTTACACTTACAAATATCTTGCGTGCACATATCTTTCTGGTGCAGCGGTGTAACACCGCACTTTGGGGTCAAACGCACTTTGGGGTCCGACCCCAAAGTGCGTTACGTACTTTGGGGTCCGACCCCATAGTGCGTTACGCACTTTGGGGTCCAATTTCGACCCCAAAGTGCGTTAAACAGGTACATATGCATTTTTTAACATCAGGCAAACGACCGCACTTTGGGGTCATAGAAAATTAAAGTTCATTATGTTTTAAATAATATA